TTAAATAATTTATTCAATTATATTTATTTCTATTCTTTATCTTCTACTCTTGCTATTCTCTTTTCTTGTTTTTTATATTATCACTTTTATCTTCTATGAGTTGTTTATTTTCTTTATTACTTTCTTCAACTTCATTTTCAATTTATATCCCTTTTCATTGTAACATGTTTCGATTATGTGAATTCCATACACTCGGATCATGAACTCGAGGTAATAATTTAATTGGATAGTTGATCATGACATTTCTCTGTGGTATATCATGAAGCTTTCTTAATGTTTCCTTAAGTAATAAATACAAAAAACAACTTCAAACTACTTTTAATTTCTTCATTCATTTGATCACCACATTAATCATTTGAATGACCTTTTTATTTCGTATTACTTTTCTATTTAGATTCTACTCTTGGAAATAGTCATCTCATCAGATGCTTTTCATTATTATCCTTTCACATTACTTTGTTTATTTTCCTAATTACATGTTTTTGTTTTCTTTTTATATTTCTTTATTCATCTCCTCTATCTGTTTGATAGTGTCTCTTAACTTTCTCTTGCTTATTTCTTTCTATTTTATATTCCCTGTTTTGTACTTCTTCATTTCTACTTTCACTTCTTTTAATTACTAGCTTCTTCTTTCTTAATTAAGTCTTTCATCTCTTACTTTATACTTAGTGTATTCATATATGTATTATGATTTCTTGTTTGAAGTTCTGTTCTTTTTTTCTTTAAATATCTTCTTTCCTTTCTTATCAAATTTTATTTATAACAAAATTGTGTTTCTTGGGATTATTTCAGTCTTTTAATATTTTAAATTTGGTAAACAAAAATATGAAATGCCTACTACCAAAAATCTTTCAAAATTAGTTTGGTATATTCTAAAATTATCATAAACCATTGAACAAAATACTTATTCTTTTGTTTCTATTTCATCATTCTTACTCTTTTATTAATTATTCCTATATTCTATTATTAATTTGTGTTTATCAAGAAGAATAAAAAAAGACCAAAATAAAATAATCAATTCAATTATTTTCAATTTAATTCTTTGATTGAACATAATAAAAATGTATAGTATTACTTTTATTTTAGTACTTCATACTAACATATTAATATTCGAATATATTTATAATTATACTTTAATTATGTTTTGATTTCTTTTAATAAATACAAACTACCATTAAAAATTATCAATAATCATTATACAAGAATTGTCATTTCTTACATTTTGTTATTTGAATTAGATCAAATAACAAATAAAAAATGAACAAAATACAAAGAATAAATACATAATGAAAGAAGAAAATAAAAGTAGACAAGATTAATACTAAGTGATAATAAATGGATGAATATAAAAAGAAGAATAAGAGTTAATGTGATATTAAATAGAGAATAAATAGAGATGAATAAGAAAAAAAATAAAGAAGAAAAGAAAATAAAAATTCATAGAAGAACAACAATAAATAAATAAAGAAGAAATAATAATAAATTAAAAAATAAATTGTTATAAATGAATCATATAAATGATATTAATATCAATTATTCTCTTATACTTCACTTATTTTATTCATATTTTATATATTTACATATGATTAATCAAATATTTAATTCATCAAATAGTTTTATATTGTAATTATTTCATAATTATTTATATTCATTTTTAATTTGTTGTTTCATTATTTCAATAATGATAAATCAACATATAATTAATATAAATATGATTATAAATGTTGTTATTCATTTAATTAATAACCATTCTAACAATTTGTATGATAATATTTGTGTTAAAATGTTGTGTTTTCATATTATTTATTCATTCATAATATATTCATGACATTTTCTATTTCTTATGAATTTATTAATTCATTTTCTTTTATTTTCTTTTAATATCAATGTTTATTCTTTTATCGTGTCATTTTTGATAATATTGATTATTCATTCATCTCAAATGGATATGAATTAATTCAATTTTATAATAACATTAAACATGAATGAAATATAGGAAATATTTTATAGACATATGAATAAAAGATAAAGAAGAATATGAAAGGAAAAGAAAAAAAAAGAAACACAATAATTAGAAGAAGAACAAATGAATAACAAAAGCAAAAAAACATAAACACCACCTGATGTTCCATCAAGATTATTGTGATTATCAGAAATATCATCAGAACTAACAACAGTTTTATCATGTGAAATATCAGAAGTAGTTGTATTTTTATTATCTTGTTTTTCATTTTGTTGTGGATGATTTTGTTGTTGTTCTTTTGGTGGTTCATCTTTTTGTTGTGTGTCTTTATTTCCTTTTGGTTGTTGAGTTGAAGTTGATGGACTTATTTGTGTTGGGTTGTTTGTTGTTTGAGTTGGTGACGTTTCTTCACTTGGTTTTGCTGATGAATTTGGTTGACTTGGTGGTTGTTGAGGTTGTCCTTTTGAGTCTTCTTTTTGTGGTTTTTGTTCATTTGATTTTTCTGTTTTTTGTCCATTTCCTGATGGTGTTGAGACTGATGAAGGTTGGTTTTGTTGTTGTGGTGATGCAGGTGATGTACTTGATGGTTGTGATGTTGTTTCTGTAGAGTGTGTTGCTTCATTTCCTGATGCTGGGTGTGTTGTTGTTGGTGTTTGTGCACTTGTTTCTGTAGCTTGTGGTTTTTCTGATTTTTCTGATTTTGATGGTGTTTGTGTAGTATCTCCTTGGGTTGTTACTGAACCTCCTTCTGTTGGTGCTGTTCCAGATTTAGGTGTTGATACTCCCGGAGTTACAATCTCAGAATGAGTTGTTGATGAACCTCCTTCTGGTGTATCTCCTGATACTTGTTTGGATTGTGGTGCTGATACTCCTGATTGTGGTGAATTTCCTTCTACTTTTGCTGGTGGTTCATTTCCTTTTGGTGATGTTGATGCTGGATTTTCTGCTGGTGCTAATCCTGACTGTGCTGGACTATTACCTTCTTGTGTTGTTACTGCACTTCCAGTTGGTGTTGATATTCCTGATGCTTGTGATGCAGATTGTGAATTTGCTGGTGCTGGTTCTGTTAGTGTTTCAGCTATCAAATGTATATTATTATGAATATTTTGAATGGTATTAGTCAACCGATTATATGTTTGATTTTGTGTATTTTCATCATCATGATATTTATTCTCATGTTTATGTTGTGTAGTTCTTGTTGAATCAACCATGTTATCTTCACGTTTATTATCATCTTTATTTCCTTGTTCATTGTATTGTTCAGTCTCCAATCCTTTACTAATTACAACAATTAATATCAATAGAATCATTGTTTATTTCTATTTAGTTCTTCTCTTTAAATATATCACACTAACATACTTCAATTTCTTTATTGTCCATTCATTATTTGAATTTGAATTGAAATTTATTTGCCTTCTTTGTATTTTTGTATTTATATTATCATTGTATATCATTCATTCATGACTTGATGAAATGTTAAAATGTCATAATTCTTTCATCCAACTCTAAAAATATTCTATTCTTATTGTGTATTTTTATTTCAAACAAACAAAATATTATGATTGGTTAAACTTATTATTTTATTATCAGATTCATATTTCTTATTCTTATATTTCTGATTTGATGATAATCTTATTTATAATACAATGAATTTGTATGATTCTGATTGAAAACAATACTAAATAATATATTAAAACATCTGTATTAATTTATATTCAATTATCAAATCATCAATAACTAAAACACAAATGTTATTCATGAATTATCAGAATTGAAAATTAAAATAATCTTAATTCAATATATATTTTGTACAACAAATCTAACTGAATAATGAATATATTAATGATTATTTATATACACAACTTATTTTCTATTTGTGTATTACCAAATTATTTCAATTATATTTAATGTTATAATGTATCAATATTTTGATACAATCATATATTCATTTCAAAATATTTATGAATATTATATTACAAGTATTTCATATATTTATTGTTATTTTTAAAATGAATAAAACAACAATATCGATAAATATGACAATGAAATATGAAATAAGAGTAATACAATAATATTTTATGAATGATAATACAAAATAACATAGTAATGTAAAGAAGAA